AAAAAAAAAAAAAAAATGTACACCGCTCTACCAAACTATCTCTTCTGATTGACGATTCCTTTCATATTGATTATTCTGTAAGTTCTGTTTTCACACGTGAATTACATTAAGGAAGAAACGAGAGACATTGTCCAACCCAAGTGTCATTACTTTTGATGTTAAATAAAAAATACATAATTAATAAAGCACTCTTTATCCTACCTTCCTGACTGGTATTACTTTCAGCACGCAAGCGTGGGAGGAAACATTTGGAATGGCACCATTAGACGAATAAACGAGAGCTCACTCTTTAACTGTAGTAACATTTATTATACGTATGTACATCTGTAATTATCCCCAGCTATGTTTGATTCGTATAAATTTTAATTTCACATATACCTTCGTTTTTTCATTCAGATTCTGACTCGGCGAATTTCAGACCATCCCTTCGCCGATTCTTTTTGCGCAATCGTTGAATATGTTTCTTCAATTTGCCAGATTCTTTCAGTTCCTCGTATTGAGAAACTAGATCCAATATTCGTTTTTCAGCTGTAAAAGAAAAACCATAATAGAATCATTACAAAACGGAATTAGAGTATAGTAGTGTCCTATTTGTCTACTTACATTTCTTTTTAAATACTGGCTTTTGGCCCTGTTTGATGGCCTCGACAATCTCCTTCTTTTCTTCATATTTCTTTTCTTCCTCTAATTTTCTTCTTTTTTCTTCGTGTAATTGATTCTTCAATCGTTGTATGAGGTATTTGATCTTCTTTATCGTTTTGGGATCGTCAGTCTCATTCAATTGTTTCTTTAGTTCTTGTAGATCATTCTCTTTTATCTCACTAATAAATTCGTAAGCCTTTCTAAATGCCTTTTTGTCAAACGTGCCACATAGACCATCGAATCTAGGATCCCTTGGAATGTGTTTCTTTACTTGTATTACTTCTCGGAATCGCGGAACGGGTTTCTTTGCGGATACTTCACGAGGTCTGTTTTTATTTTCTCGTTTGAATTCCACTTTCTTACTAACCTTGCGAGGACCGAACAGTGCTTCTTTGTATACCTTACTGCCTAATTCCTGATGCAGCTTTTGAAGGTCTTCAAAGCTCATCTGCGAGACTTCTCTTCTGATCTCATCCTAATTGATAAAAGCATGCTGAATTATTTCAGTATTTATGTATCTAATTTATAGTGAATGTATATTCCTAACCTATATTATGTATATTCATTACAAAATTTAAGGGAAGAATTATCATATATATAAATATTTACCTGGTCTTTGTCTTCGCTAAGAAGAGCATCTACTTCATCACTCATGTTAAATAACAAAATAACAATCCTCTGGTTCGATT